ATATATACACATACATAAAGTTTGTTAGGAGGGTAGATCACGTGAAGTGTTTCCATGGGAGCAGGGGCTAGAGATGGGGAAAGAGGGAGAGAGAGAATGAGACAAAAGTGGGTGGAGAGAAAGGGTGGGAGGGAGGTGGGAAGAGGAACAGAGGAAGGGTGAGAGAGAGATGGAGGTGGAGAGAAGGGCACACAAGGAAACTTTTGGAGGTGATGGGTGTGATTATTACCTTTATGTGATGATGATTTCACGTGATGTGTGTATACATCATCGAATTGTATACAAGTATACTCTTACAAAAGTATAGTTTTGTATATCATTCATACCCTAATAAAGCTGCTTTTTTTAAGGCTCTCTCACAGTTAGCTATGTACCAAGAGTAGCAGGGTTGAAGTCCATTCTAGACCACTTGGTGTCTGTGATGCCCACTGCAGGTATCTAAGGCGAGGCATGCAGGTAGCCTCTCAGATTTTGTTTCTCTCTCTACTACGGGCCCTTGCCAGGAAGCAGCTGGTATGAGGCCTTGTTTTTGAGGCTCAGTGTTCTCACCATCCATCCTGAAGTGGGCTTGTGACCTCACCCACAGTGTAATGTAGTGTATGGATCTGAACAAATTACAAAGATGAGCAATGGACTCTTTCCATGAGAACAGAGGGGTCAGATATTACAGTAGACTGGGTCCCCTGACTCATCGAGGGGGAAAGTGGGTCTTCTACTTATGTGAAGCTTTTATATATTGGAACTCCATTCCTTCTATTAAAACTACTCTCCTACATAAATATATTGAAATAAACTCATACATACAGTGCAATATACAGATGAATTATTGAATTGTGTACTTGAACCTATATAATTTTATTAACCAGTGCCACTCTTAAATTTAATAAAGGATAAATTTTGTACTAAATATAAAGATGTTTAATAAATTCCATCTTGAAACATAAATAAAAACTTTGAAAGAATGCCTATGAAAATCGAGCAGTTGATACCTATCGGGAAGAAGACCCAGGAAGAAGAAGATTTAATATGTTTTTAACCTTATTTGAAAGTTTTTAAAAAGATTTTAGTAACATTTTATTTAGCACATATACTCAAGATACTATCATTTCAACATGTAATCAATATAAAAATTATCGAGGTACTTACATTTTTTTCTTTTTTAAAAATTCAAGTGTATTTGGCATACCATATTAGTCTCAGGTGTACAACACAGTGATGTGACATTAATATATCTTACAATGTGCTCACCACACTATGTCTAGTAACCATTTGTCTCTGTGCAGTTTTCACACTATTATAGATTATATTCTCCTTCACATTTCACTCATACCTCCATCCCCTCCCCTCTGGCAACCATTGCTTTGTTCTTCATTTCTATGAGTCTGCTTTTTATATTTATTGGGGTGACACTGGTTAATAAAATTATATGGGTTTCAAGTGTACAATTCTATAATTCATCATCTGTATATTGCACTGTGTGCTCACCACCCGAAATTGAATCTCCTTCCATCGCCATATATTTGACCCCCTTAACCCTTTGTTTGTTCATTGGTTTGATTTTTTAATTGTGAAAATTTGGTAGATAAGAATGAGTTAAAAAAATGAAATCTGTAGTATGACTCCATTTGAGTTTATTTGTATCTGCCTACCTGCCTAGAAAATTCCTGAAGAATATACTGTTAACCTTGGATATAGCTCAGCATGGAATGATTTCATGGACTTTTTTGTATTTTAATTTGTATTCTCTTTATATTCCTTACTGTATGTTAGTTTATTTTTTCTGACTATAAATATATGTTCAAGGAGATGTGAAACAGATGTTGAAGCAATTTTCAGCTTTTAAATAAGGTGGGTGACTGAAATGTCATAACCGAGTTTCTCTATTGCTTTCCAGGTTCTACCACACAGATCTGGCAGTCACCCCTTATTTTGTACCAGAGGTTTAAAGCCGGCAGCACGAAATCTTGACCTGGCCTATAAAATGATTATGCTTGAGTTATAAGCTATTTTATTTTCATCTGAATGTTTGTCAACAATTAAGTGTTAAAAGATACACTCAATGTTGCAGATCTCTGATTTCTCCTTTCACATCAGAAGGTCTGGTGAACCTTCTGGGGCCCAAATTATCATCAAAACTTGGCAGCCATTTATCAATGAATGCTCAGTAATTTATTTGGGGCTAAGACTAGAGACAATCTGAAATCTTTCTCCTGTAAGACTAGTTGTGATTGTCTGGAAGGTAACAAGGGCTAAAGGACAGTAGTAAACATGAAGACAGGCTCAATCTAAAACTGGCAACTCTTGCAGCTTTGCATTGCCTGGCTTGATGGTCCCTCTAAATACTTGAGTCTTTCCAGATGGATGTAGAGCACCCAAGAGATGGAAAAGATATAAGATTCTGACTTAGAGCTAGCTACATTTGGCTTAGGGTCTTAGCTCTGCTACCTAAGGGACTTTGGACTAGATTCATGATGTTGGTAATTTCTAAGCCTCTCAGATACTCCATTTCTTTCTATTGGAATAAATAATTGCATCTGTTTAGAGATGTTTAGAGATGCCCAAAGGAGCCAATGAACACGATATGCTCAGCAGAGTATGTTCTATGTTAATTCTCCATAACCTTTGCACAGAGGCCCACAGATTTCTATGGCTAGATATTACAGTTCTATGACAAAGCGCCATGCTTGCAATCTACTCTAGCTAAAGTGCTTTCTTTGGGTGGGTCTAATCCATTAGCGGGCTACCTTCATTAGAGTCAGTTGGCATCATGAAAGAAAACATGGGTAGAATCAGAAGGTCATGACAGGACAAGACCCACATCCAAGCCATTGCTGTTCCTTCGGTGGCTTCCAGACCTGAAGACTGGCTCTTTGGGCAATGGAGAAGTCACTCACCAAAACAATCAGGCTTACAGAAAACTGCTCCCACCCCCCACTCACACCCACTACTCACGGCTTCACCTAGCATTGATCTTCTCACAGAGATTGTCACGGTTGATCTTGTGGAAGATGCTGTACATTATATTCCAGATGTGCTGCACTTCATAAGAGACTGTCAACAGGTCAACTAGGTCTGGTCTGGTTTTCCTTAGGTCCAGCCTTGGGATCGGTGGGAGTCCAATCTCCACACATGCTTGTCCAAGATGATTCTTCGAACTCTGAAATTCCCTTTTGTTGAGTTTCTCCAGATACCACAGCAGATCAAAGTCAAGAGAACCTGATTCAGCCATCTTGCATTGTCTCCAGTGGGGTCAGGCTTGGGAAGAATCTTGAGGACCAAGGAATATGGGATCTAGAAAATAAAGAGAATCATATCACATGGTAATACCAATTCATTTGAAGTTGACATAGTAAGACATTTCCTGATATAGGCTGCTTTTTGATAGTCTGTTAAAAGGAGATCTGAATTCTTTCCTTTTGGCAAAGTGACCTTGACATTTGACCTCAGTAAACACCTGAGTTGAGATCAAAGTGGAATATCAGTTGTGTTAAAAGGCAACATTCTCATTGTAAAAAATACTCCAATTAGTAAATAGGGTTTAGATTTTGAGAATTGAGTGTCATATAAAATCTTTCGAGAGAAGGTAGATTCTCTAGTACAGGGATTCTTTTGTAACTGAGTGTCACCTAGAATAGCCCATGAAAAAGGCAACTTATGTATGTGTGTGCTATATACATGTGTCTACATGTGGTGCCAGTTAAACACTTGATAAAAGTGGCATCATGAATGTGCATTGAAATGTATGCCAAGATAATCGTGTCTGATTGTTTACATATGAGGAAAATGCAAGCCTTACATCACTCCACATACAAACTGCAGATAAAAAAAATGAGGTCATTGTATGTTTTGAAGAAAATATGATTGGAACTTAATTAAATCAGGAATATATCACATCTTATTTTTGAAATTAATTATTTTTATGGTGATTGGTTAATGAAATCCAGTAGGCTTCAGGTGTACAATTTAACAGTAAAGCATATGTATATATATATCCTTGTTGTCGCAAATGGCAGTATTTCATCTCTTCTTATGGCTGAGTAATATTCCATTATATATATGTACCACAGCTTCTTTAGCCAATCACCTATCGAAGGACATTTCGGTTGCTTCCATGTCCTGGCCACTGTGAATAATGCTGCTATGAATATTGGTGTGCAAATATCTTTTTGGATTTGAGTTTTGAATTCTTTGGGGTAAATACCCAGTAGAGGAATTGCTGGATCATATGGTAGATCAATTGTTAGCTCTTTGAGGAACCTCCATACTGTTTTCCATAGTGACTGTACACTTTGCAGTCTCACCAGCAGTGTATGAGAGTTCCTTTTCCTCTGCATCCTCTCCAAAATTTGTTATTACGTCTCCTATTGATAACAGCTATTCTAACATGTGTGAGATGGTATCTCATTGTGGTTTTAACTTGCATTTCCCTAGTAGCTAGCGATGATGAGCATCTTTCATTTGTTTGTTGGCCATTTGTATGTTTTCTTGGGAAAAGTGTCTGTTCAAGTCCTCTGCCCATTTTTTGATTGGATCATTTTTGTTGTTGTTGTTGTTGTTATTGTGTCGTATGAGTTCTTTGTAAATTTTGGATATTAGGCCCTCATTGGAGACATTGCTTGCAAATATATTTTCCCATTTGGACAGCAGTCTTTTTACCTTATTGACAGTTTCTTTTGCTGTGCCAAAGCTTTTCAGTTTGATGTAGTCCCATTCATTTACCTTTACTTTCACTTCCCTTGCCTTTGATGTCAAATTCATAAAATCCTCTTTAAGTCCAAGGTCCCTGACTTTAGCTCCTATGTTTTCTTCTATGCATTTTATTGTTTCAGGTTTTATATTTAGGTCCTTATCCATTTTCAGTTAATTTTGCTGTGTGGTGATAGACAGCAGTCTAGTTTCATTCTTTTGCAGGTGGCTTTCCAGGTTTCTCATCACCATTTATTGAGGCTTTTCTTTCTCCA